CTTTGTGAGAAATGCTTAGTGATTTGGGAATAGGCAAAAATTTTTACCAATGACACCAAAAGTAAGATCCTAAAATGTTTTAACATGATAATCTGAACTTTCTTAAAATCAAAAGCTTCTGCTCTTGAAAAGATTCTGTTAAGAGAATGAAAGACAAATCACAGACTGGGAAAAAAAATCCAGAATGTATAAAGAACTTTCAACTCGCAGTCAAAAATACCAGTTAAAAGTAGGCAGAATATTTGGACAGATACGTGACCAAAGGATGGGGGAGGAGGTGTATGAAAAATGCTCAACATCATTGTTTAGTAGGTACGTGCAAAGTAAATATGGTACATCCATATGATAAAATATTATTTGGTATTGAAAAGGAATTAAGTACTGATGCATGCTCTTATATGGATGAAGCTTGAAAATGATATGCTACATGAAAGAAGCCAATCACAACATATCACATGTTGTATGATTCCATTTACATGAAATACCCAGAACAGAGAAGTCTGCAGAGATAGAAAGTAGTTTAGTGGTTGCCTAGGCTTGGGCAAGGGGAAGATAGAGATTGATTGTTAATTGGTATGTGGTTACTTTTTGGAGTAGTGAAAATAGGATTCAATTAGATTATGGCAACGGTTGCACAACTCTGAATATACTAAAAATATTGAATTATACACTTCATAGGTTGTATGATATGGAAATTATATCTAAATACATTTTTTTTAATATATCCAGTAGACTAATGCTCAGGACGAGATCATATGGACCTTTTTCCCCCAGTCTCCTCCCTACTAAATACAACTTACTATAAAGCCTGGAAATACCTACTATAAAGCCTGGAAATAACTTCAGAGCAAACCAAAAGAGAATTCTGAAAGATGACAGAGGAAGGTGTACTGGTTTGGGATCCCAGGACTGGAGAAACAGCACAGTATGAGGACATCTTATGACTTCTCATCCAACAGAAAAAGGTGACCCCGGCCTGCCATTTCCTGAACACCAGCTTCGTTTTAGCAATAGAATGTGGGCCAGGAAGGCTCATCCTTCCTCTAGATCAAATGGAAGTCCCACCTACATCAGGTGAGCCAAACAGTACTATGAATCAATAGCAGAAAGATAACAGAAAACTTTCAAAACACTTGAAAATGAACCTAACCATCTAAATAATCTGTGGGTCAATGAGAAAGTCTCAAGGGAAAATAAAAAAAATATGCTAAACAGAGTGAAAATACAACATATCAAACTTGTGGTACACCGCAAAGTACTGAAAGCTTACACCAGAAAAGAGAAAATCAATAATCTAAATTCCTACCTAAAGAAACTAGAAAAGAGGAAAGTAAACCAGTATAAAGCAGAAGAGAGGATGTATTTGAGATGAGTTCAAGTGAATAGGGCTGCTATTTGAGGGGAATGATGTAGAAATGGAATATGAATGAGTGGAGATTTAGAGAAGACAACCTGGAGCACGTGAAGCATTACTGACTGGACTGAGGGACCAGCTGAGCCTGGAAATTCTAACTCTTAGAAGCACCAATATGTGGAGTGCTACTCCTGTCTCTCACAGTGGTTATTGTGAGACTGGAGAGATCAGATGTTCAGAGGACCTCAAACCTAAGACTAACTAGTGCAGGTGTGGTATTTGGAGGGCAAAGGGTTGAAGAGGTGGTCAGTTCTAAATCGATATGCCCTGACATCTGGCTGGATGAAGGAAGAAGTAAAGAAGAAAGGAAAGGCTTGAGGCACTAGGCACCTCAATGCAGCCAAATAGCAGATGCGTGGGACCCAGCCACTGTTAGGAGATTCAAGACACAATGGGATATTGAACTTGACCCCTCAGAAATCCAGTCATACCCACTGATGCCAAGTGATTGGTTAAAGCACTAAGAAGTTAAAGGACAGTGTGGTGAGGGTGAGACCAGGCTGTGCAGGATGGGTCTTCTGTGTGGATATTGTCAAGGCCACCTGGGATGAGACCAGGACTTGGAGTGTCAAGGAAGTCTCTTGAGATCTCCCTTAGAGTATGGGGAAGAGTGGGGATAATGCCCACATCCATTTGTCACTCTCAGTTCAAACCCTCTGGTTAGCAGTCAGCACTGGGGAGGAATGCAAGGGAAACAATAAGATCAGGGAAAAAAACCTGGTTTCAGGGAAGGCCTGGAAGTAAAAGGAATGTTTTCAAACAATCAACTTTCCTGCTTATTATCTGGTTTATTGGTTGGTTTTTAAGCTGAGTGGGGAAAGTACAGGCAAACTCTTCTGGGGACACATTTTACTATTTTAGCCCTGTAAAGTTCTGGAATGGCAGTCAGAAGGTTTGTCTGAATATTAATCCAGATCTCTGACCTCAAGTCAGCTGTTTGCCATTATAAACCTTTTGTGTGACCATTTATATAAGAACAGAGTTGGAATAAATGAGCTTTACATTTCCCACTGGCTTTAATACATATGGGCCCTAGATGCATATACTAGGGTCCGCATGAGCTAGCACAGTTGTTGTCTAGTAGCTTATTCTATCTAGAGAGAAAGGACCTATGAGGAAGGAGGGTGAACCTTGCTTGTTAAAAGTGCAAATCCCATTCAAATAACTCCCCCAAGACATCACAAAGCATCTTCTTGTCAGAGGAAGAATTCTAAAATGGATAGCCCAGGGTAATCTAGTGGTGAAACACCCTAGCTTTGGAGACTGGCTGTTTTCCACTAACCAGGTGTTTAATTTGGGCATATTATTTGACCTCTCTGTATCTCACTGTTTTCCAGGAAACAACGAGGATTACAGTAGCATGTACTTCATAGAGTTGTGAATATTAAATAATGATGCATGTAAAGCTTCAAACCCAGTGTCAGACACTTTGGAATAACTCAATATATGTCAATGATTATTATAATAATTATGATAATTATTATGGGAGGGACCCAATGTTATTACATTTCTGCTCTCTGTAAAACTCTATGTGAGGAAATATCCTAAAGCAAAGTGTACAAAAATAAATAATACACAACGTTTCACTCTCCCGGGGCCCTGTGCCTGACATGGGAAATTTCCAAGCATGTCATGAAGTCTTAAGTTTTCAAGAAAGGTTGGAGGTCCTGTCAATCAAACAGCAACATGTTCTTCTCTTGCCTTGAAAATCATGTATTTCCAGATGTTTTCAGGTTTTCATTTTTCACCAATCCAAAGGGGATTTCTCAGTTGAGAACATCTAGTGATCTCTCCCTTTATCCCCCTCCTTTTCCCTTTAGAGGCCCTCCTCTTAAGCTTCATTCTTTCCAGTTTCTCTTTCATCCCTTCTCAACCATTTATCCGATTTTAACCCTTTCATTCTCTTTATTCAACTAGAGCACTTCCCCGTTCTTCCATTTTACTCCACACCCTCCTCCCCTTTATCCCATGTCCCCTTCCCCTTTATTCCATGTCGCCCACCCTTCCCCTTTATGCTCCATCACTTCCGCCTCTTTATTCTCCATCACCTCTGCTTTTTATTCCCCATCACCCCCATTTTGTCCCCATTACCTCCATCCCTTTATCTCACATCACCCCCCCTTGTCCCACATCACCCTTCCCCTTCATACCCCATCATCTCCTCCTTATTCCCCATAACCCCTCCCCTTTTGTCCTTCTGACCTCCAACACTTTATTCCCAATCATCTGTCTTCTTTATTCCTTACCCCCTCCCCTTTATTCTGTGTCACCTCTCTCCTTTATTCCCCATCACCCCTCCCCTTTATTCTACACACCCCCTGCTTTAGTCCATTCCCCCACATCCCATTATTCCATGTCACCCCCTCTCCTTTATCCCTCTTCCCTATTTCTCTTTCCCCTTAAGCTCTAGTCAGAGCTTCCCAACTCACCAATCCAATTTTCAAATTAAACACACACACACACACACACAGTAAGCCATGAATAAGCTGCTGTCACAACACAGATGTTTATTAATGATTAAATGCCAGAGAAGTTTTAACAATCACAAATCTTCGAGCTCTGCGGTTGTTACCCATTGTGTGATCAATTTCTATCCCTCAATACAATACATTCTTCATTCTATGGACCTTAGCAGTTGTTACCCCTCAATATCAGCTATAATTTTGGATGTCATACATAACCCATATCTGCGTGTTACCAGAGCATGTCCCGCAAATTTGTACCGTCCTGCAGAGAGGAGCTACAGAGACGATAGGTAAGAACGTTTGGAATCAGGTGACTTGAACTACTTGGAACTATGTGTCTCTACCTAACTAGCTGTTTTGCTGACAGCAGGGTGTGAACTCCAGCTGTCTGTAAAACAGATCTAGGTAATAAAATCAAATTTTTCCTCTAAGTTTTGACCCCAGAAGGCTAGTTAGGCTTACATTTGAGGTTTCCCTGTTAGCGTGACCTGAGCAAAACTGCACAGAATTTTGGGGGTGGCTATTTGATGAGCCATTGGTCTAAATAATTTGGGGCGGGCAAAAAATCCTGAGGTGGTGGAGTTGCTGCGGGGACACGTCTATGAGTTGGTGTGACATGGTTTAGCGTTAATTGTTTGTCAGCTGTCAGTCCTAACATGACGTCCTAGCATGCCTCTTGAGGGCCTTTGCAATTGAGCTCTTGGGAGGAGGGAAGGAAAGTCAGGAAAAACATGCAATTCCCTTTTTTGGGGGGAGGGAAAGCACCTCGAGATTTGTGAGCTTCTCTGGGACAAGGTGTTTACCACAAATGTCACATCAATTAAAGGACAGGCTGTAGTGTGGGAAAGCCAGGATCAGGGGTAAAAGAGAAAGGCAAGGTAGCACCAGGGAGCCTGGGCATGACACAGAAACATCTCTGCTTGTACTAGCTGAAGAGACCAAACATCCCCAGAGAAGGGGCTGGCAGTGTGTTTGGAATTCTCAGCCTGACCCGAGCATCAGGTGGAAATCCTTCTTACCCTCAGATCTTTACCCTCAACGTTTCTTCAATGTTTCCTGTGACATCCCAGGTCTACCCCCACCCTTTTCCCCTGTCCGGCACCTTATAGAAGGAAAAACATCTAAGGAAAGAAGTAGCCGATGCCAGTTTTGGCCTCCTTCTCCCGGGGCACACGGAGCAATGGGCGGTCTTGCTCCGGAATGGGGGGGTTACCCGCTCCTTCCTCATCGTCATGGGAACGGGCAGTGCCGGGAGGCACAGCTGGCTCCTCAGAGGAACCTGGAAAATAGTAACAGTGTTAACTCCTTAATGTTTCCAGACTTCATACTCTGCACAGCACGCAAGGGACTAAGACCTAATTTTGCACTTCAAATACAATACGAAGCAAGAAGTTAGAGTAGGAAAGATTATCCCTATTTGACATGTTAAGAAAACTGCAGCCTAACAGTGGAACACATATCTCTAAATCTAGGCCCCCTGTAGAAGGTGGTGGGGGTAGGGCTGGGTTAGAGAACAGGAAGAGTGAGACAGATAACCCGTGCTTACAGCAAATGGACAATACCACCGGGCAGGCGGGGAAGAGGGCGGCCCCCTAACAACCACCACCACCCTACAACCAGCCTGACTAATTTTACTAAGCAAATGAGTAACAAAGCTGGAGCCGGAAGCTTACAGCACTTCGTGAAGGGGAGAAAGCAGGTGTCAGTCATCAATGACTCTGGGGAGGATTTGTGGTCCATGACTTGGCCAGGCTGAGACTTGTTTTTAAGGAGGGTGGTATCTACAAGAAATGTAACATCTGCATCTTCTTTGTGGGACTTTATTGCCTTTGGACTCCAAACTTCTCTAGAGTCAAGATCATTAGGCATTGGGACAGCCTCCACATTCATGATTTCATCAAGACTGACAGTAAGGTCTGGCTGAGGGTCTGGAATTGTGTTGAGAATGGAGACATCTTCAGGCTCTGGAATCAAATTGGTAACTTCATCCTCTTCAAAAGTGTTGGCTAGGTCTTTCTGAGAACTGGGAATTTCATTGTGAATTTCAGCATCCCCAGGCTCTGGAACCACATTAAATACTGAGTCTTTTTCAAGACGGGGGTTTTCTTTAGAGTCTCGGATTCCACTGACATCAGAGGCTTCTTCGTGTCTTGGGATTTCTTCAGTAACTGAAGATTCTTCCTGGTCTTGAATGTCATCAAAATCAGAGACATCTCCAGGGCTCATTACCACGTGGAGAGCTGGGACCTCTTCAGGGTTGGAGCCTTCCTCGGAGCCTGCAATTCCATTGAATTCTGGAGTTTCTTCCTGATCTGGAATTTCTTCAGTATCTGAGGTTTCTTCATCATTTGGGACTCCATCAAGAGCTGGTACCTCTTCAAGATTGGGATCTTCTTCAGGGTCTGAGAGTCCATTAACCTCTGGGGATTCTTCATGATTAAGGATTTCATGACCCCCAGGGGCTTCCTCAGGGCTTGGCAACATATGAAGAGCTGGGACTTCTTCAAAATCAAGGTCTTCATCAGAACTTGAAATCCCATTGACCTCTGGGGCATCTTCGTGGCCTGGAATCGCTTCAGCATTTGAGGATACATCATTTGGGATTTCATCAAGAGCCGGAACCTCTTCAAGATTGGGATCTTCTTCAGAATCTGGGTTTTCATCATGTTCTGAAGCATCTGCATGGTCTGAGATTTCATCGGTATCTGAGGCTTCTTCATTGTTCAGGATTACATCGAGATAGGGAATTCCTGCAAGGTCAAGATTTTGGTTGTCTTCAAAATCTGGCCCTTCTTCAAGGTCCTGGTTTGGGTTTTCTCCAGGATTTGGGATTTCTTGCACATCTGGGGCTCCTTCAGGGTCTGGGACCATATCAAAATATGGTATTTCTTCAAAGTCTGGGATTTCAATGAGTTCGGGAATTTCATCATCAGGGTCTAGAATATCTTCAAGGGGAGGAAGATCATCAAAATTCAGGGTATCATCATCATCATCATCATCGTTGTCATCGTTGTCATCATCTTCTTCTTCATCAAGCTCTGGTATGCCTTCAAGATGTGGGCCTTGAATCTCAAGATCATTTGGGATCTCAAGACCTTGAATTTCCCCAAAGACTACTCCTTGATGGAGATACTCAAATACTAGCTCTTCATGGCCTGACACATCTTCCTCAGAGGACTCATCTTCCTCAAGGGGCTCATCTTCAGCAAGGACCTGGCCTTCAGGAAGGGCCTGACTTTCACCAAGGGACTGACCTTCAGCAAGGGCCTGACCTCCAGCAGGGAACTGACCTTCATCAAAGGGCTTGCTCTGAGCAAGGACAGCAGCCCGGGCTTCAGCAGAAGTTTCCACTGGATCAGAAAGTAAAGCATCCTCTTCCATCTTTATTCGTGCACTCCTGGGTGGAAATGAATTTGAAAAAGCAAGTCAGTTTTCATACTTGGTTTGCCTAACATGACGGTGGTCTTGGATTGAAAGCCCCCATAGGAGATTCTGCTTCAGGCTAAGCTTAAACAAACCAAGAAAACACTCACTGTATCTTCCTCAAATTCCTGCGTCTGATAAAATCCAGGGCTTCAGGACTGGACTTCCACACACGCTTAGCAACCTGCTTCTGAATATGGGGAGGCACCTGAGGGTAAAGTGAGCAATGTTAGCCTTTATTACACAACATTTTAAAATTTATACTCCTCTCTATCAGGTACCCAGGACTGAAGATACCATGACCACTGAATGCAGGAGGAATTTCTGGAAGATTTAGTGGCTGCCTGCTTTGGCTACTGTCAGGGATGCATGTATGACCCTCACTTGCCTTGTGACTAGGAGAAAGCTATGAAGGAAGTTTGTCCAAAAGCTCCCTTTACCTGGAAGAGGATATCCCAGTTATCAATCATGGCACGGACCACATTGACAGAAGCAACATAGTGGTCAATCCCCAGTCTTGTTTTCCTGGACTCCCTCTTGGCAAATCTCCCCTTCTTCAGGAGAGCAGATCCAAACACCAGAGCCAAGTTGGTGGAAGTCATACGGTTGCCTGAAACCTACAACAAGGAAAGCAGAAAGTGATCGACTCTGAGGCAGTAATGGAAATGACACAAATATGAATGTCTCCTTTTGTTCTTGTTGCCTTCTCCTACCGTCTGTCTCTGTGTCTCTCTCATACACTCCCACACATGTCCCCTACTACAGCTCTCATTACCATTCTCCACAGGTTTTTACCAACTGTCCGTCAATGCCAATGGAGTCCTCGCAGTTCTCAGTGATCTTATGCAGGGCCTTCAGCAGACGCTCCAAGGTATCACTGTGGCAGGGTGGCATCAGATAAACCAGCAACTGCAGGGCAGAAAGCTGATCCTGTGGCTTTAGAGCTAGAAGAAGGAAAGCAGTGGATGGCTCAGGGGGCTAGCCTTGACAGCAGCCTGATACCAAAAGACATGTGATTATGCTTGAAAACTGAGGAAGAGCTATGGAGGAAGTACCCAGGCATCTTGTCTTTGCTCATTCCCAAAGCATTTGAGCTCAGGAGCCCTGAAAGCAAGAAGTGCTCCCATCAAAAGCAGATCCCTTCTACAGAACCTAGGTTCCTCTTTGCCCTGGGAGGACACACACAGCTTCAAGAAGCTCTAGAGAAATCTCCCAACAATAGACTTACAATGGACTATTAAGAGATCTAGGGAAAGCAATCTGGATAGGTGTTTTCATCTTCTGATGTTTACTCTGTTTTAGTTCCCTTAGGTCCTGCAGCCAGACCTCTGTCCCTACCGCCCCCCACCATACTATTTCCCCTCCATGCCTGACAAGGGACAGCACAAGACTCACTTGCTGTCAGGAGGAAGGACATGTACAGATCGTCTGGCAGCAGAGAGTCCTTCATGTCCCGAAAAAACTCCTTGAGGAGTGCAGCCACATCATGCACATTCTGATTGTCATCCAGCACTACATCCAGACCTTGATCAAATTCTTCACGGAGCTAGAAAAAAGGGAGAGAAGACATGGACCCTCTGCCCTGCCCATCACATGCTCCCTCCTGGCATTTCCTTCCATAAGTCTCAAGCTTCAGTGGAGGTGGCTGGCAATATGGCATGACTGAGGGGCTAGAAAGAAGACGTTGATCCCCCCCACCAGGCATGAAACTCCACTCAGATCTATGGGGAAGACACCCCCACCTGTTTTTCCTCACTCAAGGAACATAGGTGTAAACAGAGCCAGTTTACCTGACGCACTCTCTCTGCTGAGTATTCCAGGGTAAAAATTCCCACTGTGCTTAAGCCTGAAAGAAAAGACCAAGAGATGCTAAGTATCTCTGGTCCCCTTCCCCATGGCATTTCCCCTCTCCCCAACTGAATCCCAGCCCCAGCTGGTGGCAGGGGAATGTTCCCACCCTTCACCCTATGTCCTCTTTTCTCTACCCATTTCTAGAACACCATTCTTGCCCTTTAATTGCCTCCTACCTTGATTAAACCATCATTCTCAGCCCCCTTACCATGTTTCTCAATGAAGCTGCAGCAAGCCTCAACAACCTGGGGGATTTGTTTAGCAATCGGATTGAGGCTCATTTTCCTTTTGGATCCCAGAAGTCGCTGGCCAATCGGAAAGGAAATCTTGGAAAGTTGCAGGGTCTGCAGCAGCAGGGCCCCATCCTCCAGTTCAGCCAGGCTGTCCACGGACACTGCCCCCTGTGGAGAAACCCAAACTATCTTTAAAGGGGGGGAGCAGGAGGGTCACTTTGGACCTTCCTGAGGATTGTGTCACATTCATAACAGGAGACCTTCTCTCCGTGGGAAGCCAATTACACCCCCCCCCCCCCCCCCCACACACACACACACATGTTCTCTTCAGCTCTCCCTCCCTCTGAGGTCACAGGCCTTGACCCTCCCGCCCTGCATCGATGGACACCTCAGGGACGGCCACTGCTTGGAGGGTTCAACTCACTCGACGCCCACGGCGAGTAAACTCCCGGGGCAAGGTGGGCTCATCCCGTCTGCGACTGAAAAAGCGCCTGATGCGGCCAAACATCCTTTGCACCACGTTTCCCCGACGACGTCCCGAGGCCTGACCAGTGGATTCTTCAATCTGCATCGCGGCTGTTAGTTCAAGATGCTTGCGGCGGGTAAGCTCATTCACCAGGACCTCTTCCAGGCGAATGCCAAACGTCTTGAGTGATACGACTGGGGAGCCAGGGAGAGAAAGAATGAGACACGTCAACGCTCCGCAGCGCTTAAATCAGGAGGAAGTGCAGGGGCTGTAGCGCTCCTCTAAGCAACCGCCTGCAGCCAACCCCACCCCTCCAGACCCGCAGCGCCCCTCCCTGGGGAGGGAGCCAAAAAGACCCTGCAGTGGTTTGGCGGAAGCACTCAGTTCCACTACCCCGACGGAGCTCGGGATCCCTGCCTTAGGTCCTGCCAGGGGGGTGACAGCCTTGAAGCAATGAGGGCAGTTTCTTCTGGGCGACTGTCTGGGGTGGATCCACGGGGAAGGCTTAGGGAAATCTGCTGGGACCGCCCCGCGTCTGCAGCGAGTGCGCCATTTCCTGAAACATCCCCTATGGGGTTGGGGGGGGGGGGGTTCAGTACCCCCAGAAGCAATGGGCACCGCCGAGTCTCCAGTAGCCAGGGACACAATGGCGGGGGGGGGGGGTAAAGCCCCATTTATTTCCTAAGTATGAGAGCCCCTCACCCCTCTGCTGTCCTCTCAGAATCAGAAACCACTTCTCCAAGGTGTTTGGACGGTCAATAGGTAGAGCTATGGGAAGAGAAAAAGAAAAGACACGCACACTCACACAAATAGGATTTGATAAATGATGAAAACATCGCAATGTATTGATCTGCGGGGGAGGGGGCGGAGCAAACAGCTCCGACCTGCCCGCTGAAAGTGTTTTGCTTTCTCTCAGCCTCAGTTTCCCCGTTTGACAATGGGACCAAGCCCATCTACCACCCCTGAGACTCCAAGAATTTAACCGAATCAGAGGATCGGAGGCGCCTCGTGCGCAGCGCGCCCCGTGTCACGCACCAGCAGCAGCTCCACACAGGGCTTCAGACACACATTGCGGACTCTGGGGCGCCGCGACCATGCAACAGGCTAGGGAAGGGGCTCCGCCTGCGTCCCGGCGGCAAGTAGGGGTCGCCAAGTTCCTGTGGGCGCGCTCGCGCCCGGGCTGCCGTCGGCTCCCCGCACCGCAGCCCTGGCAGCGGCGACACGCGCCGTCCCCGCTCTCAGACCCCCGCAGCAGGGTCTCCTCGTCCCTCGCGTGGCGTCCCCAGGTTAGGGCCGCCGCGCGCGCCCGGCGCCCCCCACCCCTCGCACTTTTCTCCGCCGCGGGGGCGCCCCTCGGCCCGTGCGCCCCTTCCCGCCTCCCCGGGGCCGCCCAGCCCCCTGCACGCTCGGGCCCCATCCAGGGCTTCGTCCCGCTCGCTCACCCGCAGCCGGCTGAGTGGGGGGGGGGGGGGGGGGGGGGGGGGGGGCAGTGATCGCAGCGCACCTCCCGCCGACGCTCCCGCGCCCGCACCGCCCTCCCGCGCTGTGCCCGGATTGGCGCGTGTCTCTCTCGCTGTCTCGCTATCTCCCCGGACTCGCCGTCTCTGGAGCACGCCGTCTCTGTGCGTCCTGGTCCCTTCTCAAAGGGTCCCTCTGCACCTCCTCCTCGCTCTGACTCCTCGCACCGCACCTGGTGCGTCAGTCTTTTCACCTGCCCTCTGTCCACCTGTCTGTCCCTGCCTTCCGCCTGTCTGACCGCCCCCTCAAGCCCCCAGGCTTCGACCCAACTCAACTAATCTTGACCTCTTCCACAATTCAACCAAAACCCTTCAACTCCTGCTTCCTCGGTGGTTCAGGCTCCAGGGGAACCGAACGGGGCCGAGACCAGGCGGGAGCCCCTCCCACCCTCCTGGACCCCAGACTCGGCCCGTCCTGCCCGGGGGTCCGCTCGCTCGAAGGCGGGGACACCACGCTCCGGGGCCGGCTCACCTCGGTCAGGTTTGAATTCAGAGAGGAAATGTCTGGCCACGAGTTCGTGGTAAGCAGTCTCTTGCAGCTTCAGACGCTCCAGCTCCGACAGACTGTGTATTGATATCATTTTCGTCCTGCGGTCCGGATTGTTTCCTGGGGCTCCTCCCAGGACGTTCACTAAAAAAAGGAAGGCGGACAACAACAGCAAAGGGGGCATGATTCTGGGGCACAGTGTCCTTGCTGCCTTCAGAAAAGGAATGCAGCCACCCATTCTGGAATCGTATGATATCAAGGCTGCATCATCCAATTGTCACTGGACCTGGTGGAAGGAGCTATGGGGGGGAGGGTGGTAA